CCCCAAAACCCCAAAACCCCGATGCTATGATTAATTCTTATTCAGAAGAAATGAATTTGTTTAATTTTAATTAGAATTTAATAAAGTAGTTAATATATCCAACAGCAGCATCATAAATGCAGAAACCAGTTTAAACTCACATTCTTAAACAAAAAAGTACCACATTCCCATTTATTAACCTCCCTTTAGCAACTGTCGACGGCTCACCAGACGGGAAAAATAAAGTAAAGGTAAATAATCAGAATATAATTATATCATTGAATCGAAACACTGATTGATATCTTAAATAACTAACCATTTGATTAGGGCATGCAATCTCCAACAAATCAAGCTCAAGGAAATGGAATCAGACAAAATTACCAAATGGACAGTGATAAAAATAATAAAGATTATCAATAGTCAAGAAGATAAAAGTCATAAAGCGAGAGAGAAAAGTAGGATGAAATGAATAGAAGCAGAAGAAGTTCAAAATCGCGCCCTAATGAGGAAGAATTGCCAGAAAGTTATGCAGATCTAGCCAAAAGAGTTTATAAAATGGCTGAACTTGAAGGCTGGCCACAGTCTAAAGTGTTCGAACTTCTCAAGGATCCAATGAAGCTAGTCAAAACAATGGAGCATGTAAGAAATATTCATAAATCAATTTTGAATTAAACTTTCTAATAGCGTTAAGTCAGAGGGTTCGAAAAGCCACTTGAACCAGTAGTCTAGAGACTCGTTGAAGACTAGAAATAAAGAGAAGATAAGAGAAGATAGCTCCTTGACCAGTAGAAAAAGACCGAAGAGGAGAATGTTTAAAAATCTATGATGTCTTCCAAAATGGTAGTAAAAAGTAGGACCCATGAGGAATTTATGGCAGATTAGATTAAATTTGAATAACAAAGATTTGAAAAGCTGAAATAAGTAATAGAAAAGGAAGAAGAAGAGAGCTCAGTTATGTACAAGCCTTAATTATCAAAGAAATCACAAGAGCTGGCTCACAAAAAATTAGGTGCTGCTCCAGTGATTCATGAAAGATTATACTAATCTATTAAAGAATCAACCATCAGGCCATCAGACGATTAATCCTTCGTACCTCAAATCAATGCAAAGTCCAAGAAAATACACAGAGACTAAAAAATTGAAGAAGTGTTGTTAGATGATGCACTGAGAAGAACTTAAAAGAAAATTTAAAATGAAAAATAAAGAAATGATTTACAAACTGAAGAAAATAAGAAATAGACTATCTAATCTAAGAAGTCCCAGCAAATGGTGTTAAACAGGTTTCTATAAGATTTTACTGCTTGCGCCTAACATCATGAATTCTAGGAGGGCTAATAATTCATGATAGACTATTTGCAATTTGAGAATTTCGCAAGGGATCTTGGGTTTTGTAATGATAAAAGTGCATCTAAGTAATTACTAAGTGAGATGTGGATAGCCTTGAGAGAGATCCTTGATGGCGATAATGAGGATGATCTATAAAGTGGCCATATCAATATTGATGATATGAAAGTATTCCTTTGTGCAGTGTTAAACTTCAATCTTCCATTCATGAAAAATCAGCAGTTAGATGAATTAGAAGATAGACCTAAAGTTAATCCAAAAAGACTAGGACAAAGAATTGAGGGGAAATTTGTAGTGACTGATGAGGAGATACTATACATGACAAAATACTATGTGCTTTTACATGCAAGTCGCTAAGACTATTTGATGAACAATAAGAAATAATCTCATCTATCTAGAATAGTCGAATCACAGCTTTAATCTGATTTTAAACCAGCAACTAATGCAAAATCAAGGAAATTTATTGAAAAGAAAAACCCTAAAGATGAGATGGGAGATCTATCATATCATGATTATCTTATCTAGAGAGGAAGGCAATACAAGGAAAAGCATTCTTAGTTAGCCTCTGTTAAGGATGGCCAAGCTACAGACGGATGTACCTTCAAGCCAAGTATTTTGAAGAAAAAATTAGGAAGTACTCAAAAACCATCTGAAATTGAAAGACTAAACGATGCTACTAATAAATGGTAAGAGCTATATCTGCAAGCTGACAAGAAAAAAACAAAGGATAAATAAGATAAAGCATTTGATGAGATACTTATAGACAAGAATCCTGAGGAATATACTTTCCAGCCAAATGCTGGAAAAAAGAAAAAGGCTCTTGCTGAAAGAAGAAATTTATCTCCAAGTAATTCAAACTAAGGGCGACAATAAGAAAATCTCTCAAAGATTCAGTAAACCACTTAGAGAAATTAATCTCAGCCTCCTGCTCAAATTAGAGGCTTATAATAGCAAACTATCAAGACTCAGTAATATAGTTCTTCCACTACCACAACAACAACAATAAGCTAGACTGTAGCAGTAAAGTAAACTATCAGTTCAAAGAAAAATCAATATTTTGAGGATCAAGATCATGAACATGGTGAAGAGCCACTTTTATATGTTGATGTCAACCTTGGGAAAGAAAAAACTAGAATAGCCTTGTACCAGAGATCTAACCCAGAGTTGGTAGCTCAGAGATTCTTAGTTGAGCACGGATTGGACAGCAATATATTGGACAACTTGACAAATCTACTCAGAGAACAATTATAAAATGCACTAACTAACATTGATGAGGAAGATGCAAGTGATGATGCTAACAACTGATAAGAGTTCTAAAAGTTTGGCAATGTGATCTCAAAAAATTTTTATTTGCGAAATAAATACATTATTCTATATAAAACATTCTAACATTAATTTTACTCTATGGGGTTTTGGGGTTTTGGGGTTTTGGGGTTTTGGGG